GTTTTCATGATGGTAAATGTTGTCCTTTCTTTTTCAGGACAATTCAAGAATTTCTTGTAGAGCAGGTCTAGTGGTGACTAATTCCCTCAGCTTTTGCTTATCTGGGAAATACTTTACTTCTCTTTTGCTTATAAGGGATAATTTTGCTGGGTATAGTATCCTTGACTAGCAGGTTTTTTTTCCTTTTCCCATAAATTTAAATATATCATCTCACTTTCTCCTGACCTGTAAGGTTTCTGCTGAGAAATCCACTGCTAGTCTCATGGAAGTTCTCTTGTAAGTAACTAGACAATTTTCCCTTGCTGTTTTTAGAATTCTCTCTTTGTCCTTAACTTTTTACAGTTTGACTACAATGTACTGTGAAGAAGAACTTTTAAAATTATATCTGTTGGGAGATCTATGAGGTTCCTGTATCTTGATGTTGTAATTTCTTGCTAGGCTTGGAAAGTTTCCAGCTAGTATTTTGTTAAATAGGTTTTCTATCCTTTTTGTTTCTTTTTGACTTATGGGACACCAAAAATGTGAATATTTGGCCTCTTAATGATGTCACATATGTCACATAGGCTTTGTACATTCTTTTTTGAAAAAAATTTTTTGTCTGACTATTTCCAAATACCTATCTTCAAGTTCTGAAATTATTTCTTCTACTTGATCTAGTCTATTGTTAATGTTTACAAATGTATTTTGTATTTCATTTAATAAATTCTTCGGTTTCAGAATTTCTGTTTGGTTCTTTGTAATTTTATCTATCTTCTTAGTAAATTTCTCATTCACATCCTGAGGTCTTTTTTTATTCCTTTGCATTGCTTTTCTGTATTCTCTTGTATCTCACTGAGCTTCTTTAATATTATTTTGAATTCATTTGTGGTATTTTATAAGTTTCTTTTTGATTGTAATCTGTTGCTGAAGAATTATTGTGTTCCTTGGGGGTGTCAACTTTTCTTTCTTTTTCATATTTCTTGTGTTCTTACATTGATATCTGTGCATCTGGTGTAATAGTTGCATCTTCCCATTTAAAAAATTTGCTTTTATATGGGAGGACTTTTTCCTAAAGCTATTATATCTATGGTGTTGGTTGGGTAGGACATTTTGACTTTGATCCTTGATGCATGCAGTAGTGCAGTCTCCATATGATTCCTTTGGCTATAAACAGCATCTGCGGTATCTGTGATTTCCTCAGTGGCTTAGGGTGCTATTGTTAGTGGAGGCTATGGTGAAGTTTTTCTGGGGACAAGGATGCCAGGTGATCCTGTCCTTCGGCCTCAGTGGTGGCAGTGGGCTGAGCATGCATGTCCTTAGGTCCCAGGGAGGTGTATACTGGCACTGGTGTTAGTGGTCCAGATAGGTCAATTCTTGGGACTCCAGGTGACTTGTTCAGGTGACAGTAGTGGTAGTGGTGGACAGGATTTCAGGGCCCAGAGAAGTGGGTGTGGCAAGGGTGACAGCAGAAGAAGTGGTGGGGAAACCCTCTGCCTCCTAAGTGGTCTGTGCTGCTTTTGGCAGTGGCTGCAATGAGCTTGGCAGTTCATTCCCCTGGCCTGCAGGTGGCATGTAAGGGTGGGTGCTACCTGTGGTGGTAGCAAGAGGTTGAGTGGCTCTGAACTCAGGACCCTGGGAGAAGTTCTCAGGTGCCAATGGTGATGGAGTGGGCTGGGCTCTTCTCTGGCCCCAGACAAGGTACTGGCACTGGGTGGGGGGAACACAGAGCCAGGTCAGGTGGACCTGTCCCCAAGCCCTCTGCTGGCATATGCAGACACTGGCTGTGGTAGGCAAGTGTGGGGTGATCCCTTGGCCCCTGGTGGAATGCTCAGATTGGGACAGCAGTGGCTGTGCTGCAGCCACACTATTAAGGAGGGTGAGGTTGCTTTCAGTGGCAGCAGCCAGATGTAGGCGGCTAGGGAGTGCTTGCTTCACTTGTGTTTCAGCCCTGTTGCCAGCAGCCCACAGTGCAATGGCTGCACATAGGGGATTTTGTCTTCAGGGTGCATAAAAATTTGTTGTGGTTTCACTGCCTAGGGCAGTGGGGTTATTGCCAATAGCTTACACTTCAGCCCCGGTGGCAGCATCCAGCCATGGCGGTGGCTGTGGGAAGGAAATGTCAGTGGGTTTCCAGGGATATGAAGATGAAGAAGCTGTTGGGCGCCCAGGCAGGATGCAGTCTGGGCTCTGAAAATCGTGCTGTGTTGCAGCTGCTTAGGGATCTGGGGGTGTGTGGGATCCAGTGTGAGCTTCCTCTCTGGAGCAATGCCCTCACCCAGGCTACAGGAAGCTCTCCCTGTCAGTCTTAAGGCCTACTATAGTCTAGAGGCCCTCCCATGGCTAGGATTGCAGGAGTCCATGGAGAGAATGTAGACTTCTGGGGGTCTCTGACTTACCCTTTCATTGCACTGAGGAGCCTGGACAGGCTCCCAGCCAGTCCTGGCCAAGCAGGGTGCCTTGCTTCCATCTACTCCCTTGATTTAGGTGTTTCCTGTCACTTCTCTGTTGAATTCCAGTCTTCGCTCTTGGATGATCTATTCAAAGTGTGATTATCTACCTGCTATTTTTGTTCTTCTTTGTGGAGGAGGAAAGCACCAGATGCCTCTAGTCAGCCATCTTGAAGCCTATTATCTTAGTTTTAAAATTTTTACTTGTCCTGGCATTTTTATATTTGCTTCTTCTCCTTTTTTCCTTTTGAAATGATTAACATTTAAAAAATAAATTTCCCCAATATTACCTTTTTCTTTCTAGCAGTTTAGAATTTGTCCCCCTGTTTTTAATCTTTCAGTAATTACCCTGAAATCTTATCAGGCATATTGAGCACAACAACATTTTAAAATTAAGTTGAGAACCTGGCTTGCACCTATAGTTCCAGCTACTTGGGAGGCTGAGGCAGGAGGATTCCCTGCCCAGGAGTTCAGGACCATCCTGGGCAATATAGCAAGATCCCATCTCTAAAAATAAAAAATTAAAATTAAATAACATTTTTGCTCTCCTCTCAGTCAACAAAGGCCGTTAGAGCATTTGTGCTTCCATCTCTTTCTTCTAAACATTCATTCTATTGTCAATATTTCAAATTTTTCATACCCACAAATCAGACACACAAGTGCTGTTATTTGATATAAGCATTGCTTACTTGGAATTAATGACCTACTTGCCATTTTATTTGTTCACCATTTCTTCAGGAATGTCAAGATGTCATTACAGGATCATTCTCCTTCTTAAAGTAAATCCTCCAGAAGTTCCTTACAGCGGAGCCCTCAGTATAAGCTGCTTTCGCTGGTGTTTATCTACAAATGTTTCCTTTTATCCTCATTCTTGAATGCTAGTTTTGCTGACAATGCAATTCTAAATTAATAATTCATTTCTCTACATCTTAAAACTGTTTATCCACTGTCTTCTGGCTTCTATTGATGTTGGGAAGACCCCGGCTGCCTTCACGGTATTTGTCTACTTATTTATTTGCTTTGCAGTTCTGCAGTTCCACTACTGTGTGTCTGTATGTGGATATCTTTTTATTCATCCTGTTTAGGATACACCGTGCTTCCTGGATCTGTGGAGTTGCAGTTTTTATCAGTTCTAGAATATTTGCCAGTATCGTCTCTTTCACTATCACCTTTCTTCCATGCTCTCCCCTTTCTCTTTCTGTGACTCAGGTCAGATGTATATTAGACCTTCTCATTCCAGCCTCTAGATACATCCACAAATGTGTGCATTTTCTTTTTACCTGTGTATCATGCACTATCCATTTAATTTATTTTTTCAACCTGAAAATTTTTTCACCTCTGAAAGTTTCATATTTGCAAGACTGTTTCTTCCTTCCTGATTATTTCTTATATATTCTTTGTATTGTGTGTTCTGCTCATACATACCTAGTTTGTGTTTGGTATTTGGCCATTCCAACACCTGTAATTCCTGAGAAGCCAAATCCAGCTCTTGAGGCAGCTCTTGAGTCTGCTGCGTCCTACTAACGGGTCTGCTCCGTATGTATTTGGCTATCTTTGCTTGTGAGGGCATGCTGCTTGTCAGGTTGGAACTCCAGTGGACCTGGGTTGGGAATCCACAAGAAAATTTGCTTCTGTTTCTGCTTGGACTTGAGGGTACCCTCGTCCACGACCTCCAAAGTCCTCTTTCAAGATTTTGGTCAAGAGCCAATAACCTCAGACTCAGCTTCTCCCCCTCATTGCTGTTCTAAGGATCAAATTCCCCACGACCATGCTGCTATAAGAATGTGGCCTCAGGAAAGCCCACCTCCCATGGCTGCCTGCAAGACTAGGTGGTACTCAGACTGGTGGTACTCAAGCTCCCATCACACCACACTGCCACAGCTCTGCTTCCCACCTTCAAGGCTTTGGCTGCTGGCTGACCTCACACATACACCTCACTCCTGGGGCTCTGTTCTCATTTGTTTGGTTTTGAGAGCATGGTCTCTGAAAACCTCTCCTACCTTTGAGAGGCCAGCAGTCCCTCAAAGGGTGCATGTCATCCGAAATCTAACCACTGTGGAGTAGGAAGGGCCCTTGGAGCTTCTAGACATTTACGATACTTCCACCATCATTTTTTTTCTATCCAAATCACAACATATTACAGTTTCACCTGTTATTTTTAATCTTCTTGTTTTAAACCCACTATTCCCAATTATAAAGTCTTGTAAATCGAGATTCTATTGTGGATCATGTCAGTGTTCTCTGGATGGTAATGGATGTTTAAGTCACACCTCTCCAAAATTTCCCCTTCCACTAGTTGATATGAGGCTTCATCTCACAAATGAGTTCGAGGTACCACCTATGTGGACCTACCTTTGAAATTACTCCCAGCTCTGCATCTGGGCAGTTTGGCTGGTAGATGTTTCCTTGTCACCTGTCTCAGTTTACAGGGCATGTCCCATTGATCCCCACTCTGCTCCGTGGGTCCAAAGCTGTTCTGTCCTGGGGATCATGGCCATCCTGCAGATCCACAGCCAGCCGGGATCTGGGGCAGCCTCATCAAGCTAGTAAAAGAACCGGTCTTCATTCCCCCAGGTATAAAATGGACCCCTGATGAGAATGGAGTCGTTACCTTCGACTGCCGAAACCGTGGCTGGTAAGAGCCCATGGGGCAGAGGTCTGCAGCCCGGGCATTTATCTCTAGCTTTTGGGTTTTGCCTCATCCTCCTCCACTCCCGCCCCCTCCTCCATCACCACTCAAGGGCCTTGGGTGTGTAGAACCCTAACCCAACACAAGAGCAGGAAGAGTGCCAGTTACAGTCCTCCCTTCCCTCCACAGCTGCTTTTCTCCAGGACCAATCACATTGGTCTTTCCCAACCTAAACCTCCTTCCAGGATGCTGAGCTGTCTCCACATCGACCCTTTGTTAGGCCCTACTCTCCTTGAACGCCCTATTTTTGACAAGTTTGTAACAGAATCCGAAGCCCAGCTCTCTGCCTTTCTGCTGCCAGCCCCTCAGGGACCCTGGCTGGTCTAAATCAAAAGTGACAAGGGTTACCTCCAGGGCTTGACTTGGCCCATTAGGTGGGCACATTCCCAACCACCGCCAGCCCAGATGGCTTCAGAACTGTCTAGTGTTTATGAAACATGTAAAACCTGGGATGGATGGGTTGCCCTGAACTTTGGGTGGGCTTGAGCCAGCATCAGAATAGAAGTAACTGCAGACACCTTGGTCAGGTACTGGTTCTGGCCTTGGTTTTCCCATCTTGGGCCTGTCCCTTTCTTTCTTCTGCAGGTACATTCAAGCTGCTACTTCTCCCAAGGACATAGTGATTTTGGTGGACGTGAGTGGCAGCATGAAGGGGCTGAGGATGACTATTGCCAAGCACACCATCACCACCATCCTGGACACCCTGGGGGAGAATGATTTTGTTAATATCATTGCGGTAAATGTGCCTCCCTGTTCTAGAATAGCTCTTACTTGCTCTAGAAATCATACACAGGTGCCAAGGTGACCCACCACCCCTGACCATCCTGTGACCTGTGTGAGCATCTTTGCTGGGCCTGGACTTTGCAAACTGACGCTGTTTATTCTCCCCTCATTCCCTTCGACTCACTGCAACTGCAGTACAATGACTACGTCCATTACATCGAGCCTTGCTTTAAAGGGATCCTCGTCCAGGCGGACCGAGACAATCGCGAGGTGAGTGTCCGCTGTGGCCTGGCACTTCCACAGGACGGTGGGCGGCTCCCTCTGTAGACTGTGTCTGTGGCTCCTTTTGCTTATTCCCATGGCACCCAGAATGAGAGCAGAGCACATTACCCATGGAAACGACCCAGGGAGCCGCCCTGTAAACACACTGCTACTTATCAGAGCAAACCATGAGCAGAGAGAGACCTCATATCAAAGGGAAGCTTGCTTATTCAGGACTTCTTTTTCATCCTGCGGATTATGTGAGACTCAGTTTCCCTTTTTGCCTCCCACGTGGACCTTTCTCTTATGTCGGTGTTCATGAGAGGTTTCCCTGCAAGGAGGACAAATTTAGAACCAGTGAGTGTTATCCTTTTCCCTGGTAAAAGACCTAGGAGGAGAGGACATGGCAATAATTTCTTAAAGGGGGCTTTTGCACATCACAGATTCCTTCCTCTGTGATGGGGGAATTGGGCTTTGAGTTCCTTTGAAGCCGGGCCTCTGCCCTGGGCTCTTCACAGCTTCTGCTGTGAAGTGCACACCCCTGGGTTGCGGGCTGCAGGCTGCGGGCTGTGGTCTGGGAGCCCAGGTTATTCTGCCGCCATCCCAGGACTGTTCCCCCACCTGCACTTAGCTTCACACTTGGCATTTCCTGCCAGTAATGACCACCGATTTGTACCAAGTCATTCACCCTCTCTCAGTTTATCTTGGGGGCATTTCAGAAACACCTCTTGTAGAGGACCAGTCTGTGAACTTAGATGCATCATGGAGACGCAGGCCCTGCAATCATGTCCTTGTGGATGGCGCTAAACAGCCTCCTAAACTAAACTAACACCAAACATGAAGCTCCCCTGGTGCATCAACGCCTTGATCCTCCTCTAACATCTCACCCATGACAGCATTTCAAACTGCTGGTGGAGGAGCTGGTGGTCAAAGGTGTGGGGGTCGTGGACCAAGCCCTGAGAGAAGCCTTCGAGATCCTGAAGCAGGTGCCTGCTGTAATAAGGCCTGGGAGGGGAGGACTTGGAGACAGGGGGCAGGTGGAGGAGGCAGGAGGCAGGTGGAAGAGGAAGGGGGAAGATGGAGGAGGCAAGGGGCAGGTGGAGGAGGCAGGGGCAGGTGGAGGAGGAAGGGGGCAGGTGAAAGAGGAAGGGGGCATGTGAAAGAGGAAGGGGGCAGGTGGAGGAGGAAGGGGGACGATGGAGGAGGCAAGGGGCAGGTGGAGGAGGAAGGGGGCAGGTGGAAGAGGAAGGGGCAGGTGGAAGAGGAAGGGGACAGGTGGAGGAGGAAGTGGCAGGTGGAAGAGGAAGGGGGAAGGTGGAAGAGGAAGGGAGCAGGTGAAAGAGGAAGGGGGCAGGTGGAGGAGGAAGGGGACAGGTGGAGGAGGAAGGGGACAGGTGGAGGAGGAAGGGGACAGGTGGAGGAGGAAGGGGGCAGGTGGAAGAGGAAGGGGACAGGTGGAGGAGGAAGGGGGCAGGTGGAAGAGGAAGGGGGCAGGTGGAAGAGGAAGGGAGCAGGTGGAGGAGGAAGGGGACAGGTGGAGGAGGAAGGGGACAGGTGGAGGAGGAAGGGGGCAGGTGGAAGAGGAAGGGGGCAGGTGGAGGAGGAGGGGACAGGTGGAGGAGGAAGGAGGCAGGTGGAAGAGGAAGGGGGCAGGTAGAGGAGGAAGGGGGCAGGTGGAAGAGGAAGGGGGCAGGTGGAAGAGGAATGGGGAAGGTGGAGGAGGCAGGGGGCAGGTGGAGGAGGAAGGGGGCAGGTGGAAGAGGAAGGGGGCAGGTGGAAGAGGAATGGGGAAGGTGGAGGAGGCAGGGGGCAGGTGGAGGAGGAAGGGGGCAGGTGGAAGAGGAAGGGGGCAGGTGGAAGAGGAAGGGGACAGGTGGAGGAGGCAGGGGGCAGGTGGAGGAGGAAGTGGCAGGTGGAAGAGGAAGGGGGCAGGTGGAAGAGGAAGGGGGCAGGTGGAAGAGGAAGGGGGCAGGTGGAAGAGGAATGGGGCAGGTGGAGGAGGCAGGGGGCAGGTGGAGGAGAAGGGGGCAGGTGGAGGAGGAAGGGGGCAGGTGGAAGAGGAAGGGGGCAGGTGGAGGAGGCAGGGGGCAGGTGGAGGAGGCAGGGGACAGGTGGAGGAAGAAGGGGGCAGGTGGAAGAGAAAGGGGACAGGTGGAGGAGGAAGGGGGCAGGTGGAGGAGGCAGGGGGATGGTGGAGGAGGCAGGAGGCAGGTGGAGGAGGAAGTGGCAGGTAGAAGAGGAAAGGGGCAGGTGGAAGAGGAAGGGGGGCAGGTGGAAGAGGAAGGGGGCAGGTGGAAGAGGAAGGGGGACAGGTGGAAGAGGAAGGGGGCAGGTGGAGGAGGAAGGGGGCAGGTGGAGGAGGAAGGAGGCAGGTGGAAGAGGCAGGGGGCAGGTGAAGGAGGATGGAAGGGGGAAAGTGGAGGAGGAAGGAAGGAGGCAGGTGGAGGAGGAAGGGGGCAGGTGGAGGAGTCAGGCTTCGCCTGTGGTCATGGGCACGCCCTTTCCCTACACAGTTCCAAGAGGCCAAGCAAGGAAGCCTCTGCAACCAGGCCATCATGCTCATCAGTGATGGCGCCGTGGAGGACTACCAGCCTGTATTTGAGAAGTATAACTGGCCAGATTGCAAGGTGACCCTCCCACAGGGGTCCGGGGAGAGAAAGCGTCTCCTACTGCCATGGATAGGATCACCAACAGGGCCCCGAAAAGGATGGCCCCCATTCAAGTGTGCTTTCCTATTAGAGCCATTCTTGCCTTCAGATACGTTTTAATTGAGTGTTCCAAAATTATGGCAACCTGAGACACAGAGGCCTGATGTAGGAGGTTTGGGGCGTGGGACCAGAATATGGTGTGGGGACATCAGAGCTGCCGGGCTATAAACCTTAGCCTTGCACCTACCTGACAGCTCTCGCGGCCCTGGGAGAGCTGTGTTGCTGCCTGGGCCTAAGGGGGTGAAATGGAAGAACCTGAAGACTGAAAAGCACTTGGCCCAACATCTGAGACTCACATAAATGATGTTAACATTACTTATGGCCAGGAATTTGGCTGCTGAGGCCACCTGTGTCTTGTGCGTTAGGTCCGAGTTTTCACTTACCTCATTGGGAGAGAAGTGTCTTTTGCTGATGACATGAAGTGGATCGCATGCAACAACAAAGGTGAGTGCCAGGCCTGCAGGTGCCTTCCCAGTTGCACCTGAGCCCAGGGGACAGGGTTACCCAGCCCTGGAGGTGCTGAGCATGGGCTTCCCCGTGGGCCCCTAAGAGGAGCAGCGCTACGTCAAGAACAGAAGCCTCAGCCCCTCCTTCAGATTTGGAAAAAGCAAGGTGAGACAGTGTCAGCTCTGTCTCCATCCTGCCCCCATTCCTCTTTTGGCAAATTAAGCCATGGACTCTAGTTCTGCTCCCAGACAAAAGCAGAGGGTCACTGTTTTCTTTGGAATAATGTTTTGTGTGTGAGTGGTCCTTATCTATCTCTGACCAGACATCATTGATTCAACAAAAATTCACTGAGCATCCACTCTGCACCTGGCACCGTTTCCAGGCACCAGGGGTCCAAGAGGGATCAGGATGGACTCAGGGTCAGTCTGCCTTTGGTATTGTCCAGCAGAGAGACATACGAGTAAGCCACCACCCGCGGTACAGCCTGAAATGTGCTGTGATGGTAGAGAGCCACAGCTGTTCAGGGTGCAGGGGGGCCATGGGAGAGGCACTCTCCAAGCCAGTGTTCCAGACAGAGGGAACAGCATGCTCAAAGGGCCTGAGACCTCCTGGGAGTAGAGAGCCACTGCATCTCACTGGCAAGGGGGATGAACTCGCTGGAAGGCCGGGGCCAGGAGAGCGGAGAGGCCATCCACAGCCTTCTGCGCCACCTGCCCTTTGGAGTGTCACCATGGCTCCAGGGAAGCGGCTGTGATACCCACCCCGCAATCCCAGCAAGGACAAGGACCAGAGGAAGGAGGGAGAGAGAGCCAGAAATCCCTGCCTCTGATTGGGTTCCTGAAGACAAACCTGAGAGTGATGAAGAATGCTTATGGGGTGCTTATGGGGTGCTCTCAGGAGATGCTTCTGCAAGGAAGTAGTGAAGGCAGGTGGGGAGAGGGTGAGGCCGACCCCCAGTGCCAGTGCACTGGGTCCTGCTGCTCCTTCGTGGAGCTCTTAGCCTCCCAGAGGCCTGCAGCTGCCCCTGGGTAAAGGATGCAACTGTGGGGAAGCAGCTCCCTGTGTCCCCGGCCAGTTTCCAGAGAGGACACGGCTGTGAGCCATCAGCAGCTGGGAAGGGCACAGGCCCTGGCAAGGGGTTCCCAGGGGAGCCCTGCCTTCCACACCCACATGGCCCTCTGCACCGCAGGCTACTACACGCAGATCTCAACGCTGGCGGACACCCAGGAGAATGTGATGGAATACCTGCACGTGCTCAGCCGTCCCATGGTCATCAACCACGACCACGACATCATCTGGACAGAGGCCTACATGGACAGCAAGGTGAGCCTGGCAGCAGCAGCTCCCAGCTGGAGAAGTCCACCCCAGAGTTACGGACCCCAGGGAGCAAGAAGGGACTTCCTGGGTCAGGAGAGGGGTGGGCCTAGCACCTCCTTAGGGAACATTAAGAAGGGGTGGATGAGGCTGCTTTTCCATGCATTTCCTCCTCTTTCCTGACAGCCCTTGGCCCACTAACAGGGCCACTGCCCATATGCTGCCCCAGACTCCCAGCAGACCTGCCAGGCACCCCCCACGGACAGGGCCCCTGCTCCAAAGTTGTCCCTCCCTCCTCCCCCACAGTCTTTGCCTCCCTCATCATCCTTCTCTCCCACCCACCTGGGGGGGAAAGAGGGGTCAGACCAAGAATCCATCATCCCACAGCTGGATCACATGTTCTCCCTTCCTGGGTCCCTGCACTTTCAAAGGGCTGCAGGCAGCAGTGACTTGCAGAAAGGAAAAACATCAAAGGGAGAGCTTCCGATGGGACCTTTCTGGGGAAGGGAGGCCTTTCTGCCACTTCTCAAATCCCCATCGTATAGGCAGCCACCTGCTTCAGGGATGGCTTACTTATCAGGCTGGGCTCCAGAGAGACCTGAAAAGAGTGGCTTAAATAAGACAGAAGTGAACGTCCCCCTTGGGTAAACAACGCCCAGAGCTGACCACAAGCTCTGTGGTCGTCAGGGACCCAGGCTCCTTCCTCCCATCCCCTTTGCTGTCCCAGAGGTGTGACCCTCATCCTCATAGTCAGGAGGCTGCCGGAACATGAGTCAACTGAAACCACATTTAAGCATCCGGCTGTGGAAGGGGAAGGGGGATGCTTCGCCCTTGTGAGGCTCTTGCCAGACCCAGGAACTCACCTCTTACTGGCCAGCACTTAGTCCCCATGCTGACATGGGAGGCTGGGAATGCCATGGTCAGCTTTCTTCAACTTGCTCTATGTCCGAAGGCAGTGGCGTGCTTACCTCCACCTGTTAACAGTAGCTATACTGTTGTCTACTGTTAACAGGTGGAGGTAAGCACGCCACTGCCTTTGGCCAAGTTTGGGATGAAAAGCTCATTAATCCACTTTAAAGGGGCTCAGCCAACAAGCCCATGCCCAGCAGATGTCATCCGACCATCACTGACTGTGGCTCAGAAGGGACAAGCCGGCTGCCTTGGGCAGGGGTCTCCGTCCCTCATCCAAGCATTCGTAGGGCCCTGTGTGTCAGGGTCGATGAGAGAGAGGTGGGTGGGGAGAAGGATAGCAGGAGGAGAGGATCTTATTTGAGCTGTCTTCCCGTGCACGCTGGCACCTGCGCTTCCCCTCCATCACCCATGCATCCATCTGCTGGCCAGTAGCCAGCCCTGTGGGAGGGGCCAGGACGCTGGTGCACTGTGTGGGCCTCCCTCATGTGTGAGTGTTGTGGTCATGCCACAGGAGCTGGAAAGCGAAGGCTTTCGGAACTCTGAAATCCAATGAGAGAAGCGAGGCGCAGGCCGTACCTGCTGAAGGTGGCCTGGAATGTTGGGTGTGAGTTTGGCAGAAGGTGGTGGAGGAACCCTGGCTTCCCTGTGCGCTGTAACTGATGTCAGACGGACAGTGCTAGGTTGTTCTTAGCATTCTATGGATGGCCTGACCTTCTGGGGCTCTCTTACCTCCACGCATGCAGACGAGGCTACAGTTCACAGTTTTATCTTCACTTTTACTTCTGCCCCTCAGTGAGAACTGCACCCCCGCAACCAGTCCCTACACCCCTCTGTCTTCCTCCTTCCCTCTCCTGTCTCTGACTTAGGAGTCCCTGAAGTTAAGGGTCACCTGCAGATCACCTGGGCCCACTTCTGAACCCTCTGAGTGGAGGGTGTCACTCCCCGAGCTCAGGGCAGGTGTCCGTCCTTGCAAGGGTGTCCAGAAACACGAGTGCAGGGACAGCGGTGACTGGACCCCACCCAGGCTGACACATGTCGTAGGGGAGAGCAGGTCACAGAGGCCTACCAACAGTCTGGGAGCTGCTTCCTGGGGAGGCAGGGGCAAGCTGGCTTCACACATTCCTAACTCAGGAAGGAGACTGGAAAGTCCTCATGTAACCTGTAGAGATGTGACTAAGCTCAGAAAAAAATGAGATGGCATCGTGGTTCACTCTCAGAAAGCCTTACTTCCAACGCGAAAACGAAAACGCAGATGAGGCGAGGGAAAGAGACGTGGTGGCCAAAACGTGCTTCCTTCTCCGAGAAAGTCGCCTGTGGACTTCCATGACTCAGCAGCCTCCTGTGGTTGCTCTCAGCCGAGGTCGGACTTATGAAATCTCTCTTCCCACATGCTGGTCAGAAGCCTGCCTTGGTTATAAAGTGGGGCACACATGCAGAGCCCCTTTCAAGTAGCTGGAGGAGCGGGCACAGCAAGCCCAGGCAGTCAGGGCAGAGCCCTCAGGAGACCAGCAAGGGCTTGGCTCTGGTGCTGTGAGTGGAGACCATGTGGGTCTGACTGGGGTGCTAGGGATGGCCCCAAGACCCACTATAGCCACACCAAGGCCTGCCCTTGTGCTGCCTGCCCTTCCTCGGGGTGTGCTTGTGTTTCTGGGTCAATGTCCTCCCTCTCACCTATAGCAACCTTAAGTCCGTATCAGAGGTTTGGAAAGCTGGTGCTGTGCAAAGCCTCCCTGTTTCTGGGCAGGTGCAGATGGGCCTGTTCCCTGGGTTCATGCTCAACACTCAGCCTGGGCCTTGCTGAGACCAGAGAGCCTAGTGAGTGTGCTTGCGGCTGGGTCATGGGCTCAGGACCCTGCTGAGTGACATCAGTCTGGTCCTCCCCTCCAGGCCACCTCTGACCCCCAGCATTCCTTTTGCAGAGAAGGGAACCCTCATTTGGCATTTCCTCCTTCCCCTTGGGAAGGTGACGCTGGATAATTGACGCATGACTGTGAGTTGTCTGCACTGGGTGCTCTGAGCACAGCACACCAGTAGCCCTGGGCGGCGCCCTCTGACCCCTGTCTCCCCTCCCTGACAGCTCCTCGGCTCGCAGACTCAGAGCCTGACTCTCCTCACCACTGTGGCCATGCCAGTCTTCAGCAAGAAAAACGAAACGGTGAGTGGCTGCTCCTGGAGAGGTTGCAGCAGGGATTAGAACCCGGGGCCACAGCGGCATCCTTACACTATTCTTGACTTGGCTGTGCCTCTGAGGCATCTTGGGAGGATTTGAATGCTGATTCCCAGGCATGTCCCAGAGTAGCTACCCTAGACTCTCCTAGTTGGAGGTGGGCTGGGGGTCTGTGCTTTTCCATGGCTTCCCCAGTGACTCTGCTCACCGGCTGGGGGTTGTTTCACTGCTCTGCAGTTGGGAACCCGGCCTTGGGGATATAAGGCTGGAGGACTGCCTGCCAGCCTTCCTGCAAAGCTACGCTTAACCTAGCAGGTTGTGCAGACTCTAACTTGTTTGTAAAGGCCTCTGGTGAGGGGGTTTCTAGAGCCTTCCATCCTCCATCTGGTCAGGAAATGTTTCATTACAGGCTCTGTATGCTTCAGAGCATCCATGAATTATGGTACCTAAGATCCCGATAACTCCACCCTCCGTCATGAAGATTAATATTTCATTTAACTTTGGATTCCATTTAAATATTACAACTTAAATATTAATACTGTGTATTAATCTTCCTAGCAGCTGAGATTGCTCCTGGGACCTCATCTAATAGAGTCTAGATTTTTATTCCCAGCCTAGAATCTAACTGTAGAGGGAGAACCACTTAAAGCCTAAGTGGCCTCCTCTTCCAGGCTCTGGACAGGCCAGGGTCGAGTCTGGCTTGTACACAGGAAACCTGGGTCTCCCCCACCCCTTGTGTCTTTCCTTCCAGCGATCCCACGGCATTCTCCTGGGTGTGGTGGGCTCCGATGTGGCCCTGAGAGAGCTGATGAAGCTGGCGCCCCGGTACAGGGTGAGCCTGGGTCTGTTCCCTGTGGGTATCACAGATTCCCAGAGAGCCACCTCCCTTCTCCCCCACGGTGGGAGCCTCTTTCCAGGCAGTGACAGCCAAGCCCAGAGCTGGGATGGGGCCCCTCCATCACCACTCAAGAAGTGCAGGTGCTGAGTATGGGAGCAGCAACTGGTGTCCCTGGGTCCCTTTCCCACCACAAACTGACTTGCTCTGTGGCCTTCAGCAAGTCCTTCCCCTGCCCCGTGCCTTGGTTTCTCAGTCTGCTCCTCTGTGCCACACAGTCCTGCTGTGAGCATGAGTGAGATCAGATCATGTGGTACCAGAACACGTGGTAGGAAAGAAGTCAGGTAGTAATATGCATTATGATGGTTACTATAAACAGTCAAGTTTGGAAAGGACGCCTCAATCAATGGATGGAAGCATGGCCCTGGCTCGGTTGTGTTCCTGTTGAAAACACTCACTGCTGTGAGCTGCCATCTTTGACTGTCCTGTGGCCCCAACCCCTGCCCAACTCCAGATGCCCACTACAAACAGCAGGCCAAATGCCCCTCCACCCTGTGCTCTGCAGCTTGGAGTGCATGGATATGCCTTTCTGAACACCAACAATGGCTACATCCTGTCCCATCCCGACCTCCGACCCCTGGTAGGTACAGCTCTTCTTTGCCTTGGGATCCTTGCTGTATGGGATTTGGGGGTAATTCACAAAAATGATTAAAACAACAAACACGCATTGGGCTCCGTTTAGTAACCCAGTGGGTAATATGAGAAAAAAATGTGTTTGAATCATAGTCCCTGTTTTCAAGTTGTTTATAATCTAGCAGAAGAGACAAGGCAAAAACATGTGAAATGACTGATGAGTGGGCCGGAGAGCACCTAATGAAGCGTGCAGTTTTGAGGCTAAAGAACCCGCAGGGCCATTATTCACATCTGCTTGGAGATCGGCACTCTGGGGGCCTGTGAAGTCGGGTGAACAAGGAGCTAACCATAGAAATACCAGGGGAGTCCTCTCCTGAGTGGCACAGCTTAGGACGCATTCCTGAGTGCTCCTGGCCCTCCCAGCCCTCTCCACCCTGACGCAGAGGCTGGGTATTTTCACGAGTTCAACTGAGCAACTGATGGCTGAGGAAGTTGCACTGTCTTATCTGAAAGCTCTGCCTCCAGAGCTAAGGAGCTAGTCCTGCATGTTGGCACCGGGCAGCATATGACCACAGCTCTCAACGTGATTGTTGGGGTAGGGGGAGCTACAGTCCTAGGAGAATCGTAGCCCTTTGCCCTCTACCAGTCTTGTAGTGAATAGCAGATGGCAACTGACGACAGACAGCAGAGCATCTTCTGGAGAACTCAGGGCCTCATCCGCCCAGGTCAGTCTAAGCCACACTTGTTTCAAATAGACACTGAGCATGTGCAGGGCAACTGATTCACTATTTAAGGCAAGCTCTAGGCGTTCTGAATAGAGAGAGATTGGGGCGCACTGGAAGCCACTCTGTTCATGCTGTCTTCCAATTTAGGCTTTGCTGGGCAAGCATTGGAACCCATAACATGACACCCCCTTGTACCGGCGGTTCTGCGGGGGACAGCCCCAGTGCCAGCAAAATGACTCACTAGGGAAATGATAAATATGCTGATTCTGGAGCTGACTTGTAGAATTGAGGGGTTCTGATCAGAAACCGCCTGTCACCATCTACGTACGCCAGATGCATATAAGGCTTCAACCAGCTGATGAACAGTGTGGACCTCCTACGTGCCTGACCTCATGGTGCTGTGAACAATGCTATGAACAGAAGCTTATACTCTAATTAAGAAAACCAGACTTACACAAATGAAACAGTTAGGGAATAATACCACACAGGACCCTATTACACAGCAAAAGATACGCTAAAGCCAACGAAATGAGATTTCTAAGGAAAGCACTATCAGGAAAACTATAGTTAACGTTCGAAAAAGAAAAAATAACGAGGATACGCTCAGTAATGAATTAAAAGAGCCATGCTATTGGCCTGAAATCTTTCTACGTCAGCGCCCCATGTAGGAGTATTTAATGGCGTACAATTATGGTTTTAATATGAGAAGCTACAGATGATCTTCAGGCCTTGTCAGGACTTAGGGAATGGTAATGGAATGTTGAGCCACACCCAAGGAAACATCCCATGTAAAAGACGGCAGGACAGGGCCATTTGATAAATATGGTCATTAATAAGACCAAGAAGCATGATCCAGGCATGGGAAAGGAGAGAAGGAGGGGAAAGGGGATTCTACAGATCACCTGAACAGGCGAGAAATCAGCATGACACTTTCCCGAAAAAAGCAAACAAACAGAAAACAGGCAGAAGGAAGATATACCACGACAGGTGACTAGAGGCGTCCAGGCATCTGCTGGGGGCCTCATTCCGCTCAAGGCAGACATGCTAATTAATCCTTAATTTACCTCAATGATAAACTGTCCTCTTTCCGTTTTTGACGGGGGTTAGTAAACTAAACCCAGGAAGTGCTGCAGACCTCATCATAGATAACTTGACGGCATCTGCCTTTCAGTCAGGGCCAGAAAATAATAACATTCAGAATGTTGATGAATGGCTGCATGTCAAGTTGAAGGGAGGTCTTTATTAAGCAGCGATCTGTCCTTGTCTCTGTCCCATTCAAATATTTTATCACTAAGATGAAAATGCAGAAGGCAGATGCCATAAAGTCTGGAAGATATGGCTAATACATTAAGTGAGAAAATTCGTATTCAGAAAGTATTCTTCTAAAACAACGAGCTGAAACTAGCAAGATGAACTGTATTAGGGATGCATGGAGCGCTGTGAAATACTCAGTGCCCAAGCATACGATTGCGAAGCGGCATCTGATGGTGTGTCCCATGAGGAAGACCAAGGGACTGGACTGTCTGAACTCTCTGCCTGATCTGCCAGGGCAGTGTGGCTGGCCAGGAAGACAGCAGAACCGCAGGCAGCAGTCAGGGCCCCATGACGCCTTAGTCCACAGATCACATCCCACGCCACACTGGTCAGACCCCACTTGGAAGGTTGACTTTTGTCTGGGAACTCCATTTTGAGAGTGACAGTGAAACGCAAAGTCGAGCGTATTCAGAAGGAGCTGAGACATCCTCACACTGGGCAAACTCGGTTGGAGCAGTGAAGTCTTAGGAGTGACAAGTACCTTTGGAAATCCCAGGGGCTGTCAGGTGGAACACGTTCTATGCAGCTCCAGGGGAAAGAAGGAAGATCAGTGGGTGGAAGTTACAGGGAGGTCGATTTCAGCTTTGTATGAGGAGGAACTTTCCAAGAATTAGGGCTGTCCAAAGCTCTGACAAGCTAACCCACAAGATAGGGAGCTCCCTGCCATGGGAAGATTCACTCAGAGGCCATGAGACCATCTGTCATACATGTCAGCAAGGGGAGCTCTGCATTGGGTGGAAGTTTGCCCAGATAACCTTAAGTAATCACTGAATTGATTGATTTCTAAGGAATCCTCTCCTTTTATGAATATACCTGAAAGATAAACTTGAGCAGGTCGTATACTAACCACATGTTTTTCTTCCTGACCTGCCCACTCCAGTACAGAGAGGGGAAGAAACTGAAACCCAAACCTAACTACAACAGTGTGGATCTCTCCGAAGTGGAGTGGGAAGACCAGGCTGAATCTGTGAGTGGGGAAAATGGGGGAAGGGAAGCTAGTTAGGCTCTACACCTGACTAAATGGGTCAGCTGTGTGGCTGCGAGCTTTGAGGTCACTCTGTTCCTGTCGGGCAGAACAGGTCCATCCCAGAGCCTTTCCAAGCTCAAGCCACACCAGTGCCTAAAGTGAGCAATTCTTTTAACAGCTATAAAAATATAACAATATCTTCTTGAATCATAGGACTACTGAGGCTGAATGAGCTCATGTGTATAAGCTGCAGAGTTTGAGTTTTAGCGATGTTCTAGCCTGACTTTTGATCGTAGTTTCTTGTCCTAGACGAAACAATGTCCCAGCAACTTGGCAGTCTGTCCACCTGGGAGAGGGATCTTGGTGAATGCCTAGAATCATGAGCTAAATGGAGCCTAGAATCAGGTCCATCTTCCCTCCCAGTATTTCTCTCAGAGGAAAAAGGGAAGAACCAAAAGTGTTTCTGGGGATCCCCTCTAATCTTGTCCAAAAACTCAGCACTTTCATCCTCCCCTGGGAGCCAAGGAACTAATGCCATTGTCTTTTCTCCTGAAGCTGAGAACCGCCATGATCAACAGGGAAACAGGTTCTTTCTCGATGGATGTGAAGGTTCCACTGGATAAAGGGGTAAGGAGCTAAAACAGAGCCAGGATGTGGCCTGCCTAGGAAGGCATCTTCATTCACTGGGCTTGGGGTAGTGTCAAGGGACCTGGACTTGGCCTAATTAGAGCTGAGGAGTTGAGGGCTTGCTGCACTTAGAGGGCTGGATTAGGGAGTATAACACCTGGCCACTGAATGACAGGATTGCTCGTGCAAAGCTTGACTTTTGGAAGACCACTGAGCTGGGCAGAAGGTCAGCCGAGGCATTTACAGCTTTTCTTTCCTTATGCCGTCTGCTACTAGCCCTTTTGTTGTTTATAATGAAAAGGGGAAAAGTGACAGCTAATTTTGTAAATGGTAAGCAGTGCTTGTGACATGTTATCTGGGAAGAGATTGAAAAAATTCACTGTTCCCTATAGCTGATTTTCACCCACTGTAATCCTAGATAATTAGGAATCAATTCCCTCCCTAACCCCATTACTATCTATTTAGACCCATGCCACATTTATAAAAGATCATTTCATCTTCTCACTTCGAAGGTTCCAGTGTGTCTACTGATTCTGCATTGTCCCTTGACATATTTACAAATGTCACCTCCTCCCTCATAGCCACCCCCACCTCCTCCTCCCTTGCCCATCTGCCTCAGCTAAAAGAACACACGCATCTGCCTGCAGCAATTAGACCCAAGTTCTTCCACAACACAGGCCTCCACGAAAGCCAAACAAGAAAGCACAGGGGAGACGAGAAAGGCCATGACTGATGTTCACTGGGACGAGTGTGTGATTTTAGCGGTATCCGCCTGGCTTTTTGCAAGCTCTGGGCTGAGAAAGGCCTCCTTCAGGCAGACTGGGCACTAGAGTGAGGTCAGACCACCACCAGCAACTGTTCCTTCTTTTGATCCGAAAGAACAGAGGCTTCTTCCATAGGACCCCCACCTTCATCCCAACCAGATTCCTGCTCACATGCACAGGCCAGCTCTTACCTAGCCCAGCACTGCCACATCACTGAAGCTAAAGTGAAAAATTTGGTATGCTGATGGCACATAATGGCTTAAAGGTAGGTCTGAGTGTGGCTATACTGTATCTAGTCTGGACTGACACACGCAGTGGGTGTGGTTCTCTTCTAGCCTCTCCCCGCCGTGCCCAGGGATCCTGTGCAGCCAGGTTTCCCAGAATTCTCTTTAGCATTTCTATTCCACCTCGAACACTCATTGCCTTCTCCTTTCCCTCTGCCGCATTCTGTCACGACTCAGCCCTCCTTCATCTTTCATCTCTTCACCCTGACCCAGGGGGCCCGGCAGCCAACACCTCGTGCAGGGTGTCTTGCTGGTGTGGGGCCACTGTGGCGGTGTCTGGCTCTCACTGCTCTGATGTCCGAGGCTGCCACTCCTCCCCGACACAGCTGCATTTTCTTCACTGCCAAGGGCTCTGTCTCCCTGACAGCTCTCGAGCCAGCCAACTGCCCCATGGTCGGCCAGCCTGCCTGCCCATCTATTCCAGTCCTCCCCCTCAGCTCAGTGGAGCATCTCAACTTAATGAGCTTGTTTCTCAGTCGACCTGCCTCTCCAGGGCCAGGGCTAGGCCGAGGAGAGCTTTCTTGAAGCCTTGTGGGAATATCTGTTACTGTTCAAGCCATCCTCCCGGCACATGACCGCCTGCTGTGTTGTTTTCTCCTGGGGACTTTACGGGTATCCTTATTTTCCACAGATCCACCAGCATAATTTAGGGCAGGACTCACAAACCCAAAAACCCAGGGAGCCAAACTTGTATTTGTTAAGAAATACTAATGAGAGCAGCAGACAGGCCTCTGTGCAGGGGGTTCTGAGAACTGTGGCAAACTGGAGAGAAAACACACCATCTGCAGAAGACAGCTAAGACCCATGTCTACGACGTGTGCAGCTAATTCCAAAAATGTTAAAAGTACAACCTGGGCCAACATCGAGGATGTTAAACTTGTAAGAAGCCCAGCTTTGGCCAGCAGTCCTCCCATTTGACACTTTGATGGTAGGCTTTCTGTCCCAAATTGCAGACCAGTAACGGGTGCCACAATTTCTAACCCATGAGCAGCATGCTGGCCAGACATCCTCAGACACAAGTTTAAAAGGAGAAACCAGAAGAGCAAAGCATCCTGTAGTCTAACCTAGAACTCGTTCTGTCATTTTCATGTTTTCGAACATTTCAGACAATAATTAGCAATGGAGGAGGGAGAGGGGAGACATAGTTTTCCTTCCTAACCTTTGGGTTCTTCCAAATTAACTGCACTGACTGGGGTGAATGCATGTACACGCAGACACACCAGCTGTACACACACACACCAGTGGCACATGTGTAGTGTACGCACATGTGTAGTGTACACACATGTACAAACATACCAGCAGCACACACACCAGTGACACCCACATGTACACACGTACCAGCTGTACACATGTACACACAGATACCAGTAGCACATGTGTACACATGCACACACGTGTATACACACCAGCGACACACATGTACACATGCATACACCATCGGCACACACGTGTACACACACCAGCGGCTGGCAAGCAGAGCAGCTTTGCCTCATATTCCTCCAGTGCCCTTGAATCCCTAAACCCTGGATTTCAGGAATGCAGGGCTAGAGTGCTCTGTGACATGCTCTTACAGTCTCTCTCTCTCTGTCTCCCCCTCACATTTTTGTCCAGCAGAAGGAGGCAGTCTAGTAAAGGACCAGATTGCTCTGATACCTCTTTCCTCCCGACCTCATCTTCCAGCCCTCTCTCATGCTCTGTTAACAGAAGTCACAGGCCCCTCCTGATCCCCTGTACCCCTTCGCTTCTCCTTTTACTTCAGCCTTAAAAGACGATCTCGAAGTTCATTTCAGTAAGGCATAGCTTGACTAGACCCACCCTCCAGCAGATAACAATGATAAACTCCGAACAAAATACAAAAAACAAAAATGGAAAGGCGCTTGAAAGTGACCAAAAGCAGGCCGCAACAACACTTGAATCAAGAGAACTGCACTGGGTGTGATGTAAGTTTGGCTGGCTTTTTCCCAAAGGGCACTCCCCCAGGATGTCTGGAGCGGAACAGCTAGACTTCAGGCAGAAGGCTGCGGTTGTCACCGTGAAGTGTCAGAGAACAGAATTTGGGTTTCCAGAGTGTCTGGAAATGAGGAGGGCTAGCCCAGAAGCAGGGAGCCACAGGGAGACTAGACCCAAATCTGTATACAAACTCCCTGCAAATTCCTGGCTGATTCCTGAACCCTGCAGACACAGTGGAGCCTCGAAGTGCCCCAGTGGAATATGACACTGGAAAGCCGAAAGCAAGATTTCAGAGCAGGATCTCAACACAGGATCTCAGCTCTTGCACGTGTAGTAGGGACAGTTTGGAGTGTGAGTCACACGGAGATGGAGGGCTTGGTAAACACCTCGGGATTTCCTTTGAAAGCACAGAAGAACTACACCTTAGGAGTGAAGACTGTCCCAAGACCAAGAGATTCACCCTAGGCCTAAATACAAAGCTAAGACAGACCCACGTGAACAAAATGTGAATCCAGGCTCCACCCACTCACTTCTTATCAGCCAATCATTTAACTACTGCTTAAAATAAAAACACTCTTCAAAGGAAGACAGAGTATCTATGGCCTACCCCTCAAATATCCAGTATACAATAAAAACTGTTATGACCCAGCCATTAGAATTAGAATGACTTTAGTGCAAACATTATAACTCTGCACAAGGAATTAAAGGGAAAGATGTTCATAAGGAGGGAAGAGGTGGAGAATCTCAGCTGAGAAACGGTTAGGGCTTGATCAAAGAACAGAACCCCTATGAGTGATAAGACTGCAGGATTTTATTCTAGGGATTAGACCTTCTGAAACTGTGGGAGCTGGTGATTAAATCTACAGAAAGCTGATGTCTGCATCCAGTGGTGAGCTTGAAGCCATTGTAGGTCAGCAGGACCAGCAGTTGGGAAGGAAAGCTGGATGAGATGTGGGAGAAAGCAAGAACTAACTGTAACTCATGAGGAAAAACAGGAATCCGTGAAAACTGAAACCCACATCTGTCACTCACCAACTCTACCCATAAGGATTGCAGATGACCTGCAGACGGAGCCAGTGCCCTCTACGAGAAGCTGCATCCTCACCAGGCTGGGTCTCAGGGAAACTAAAAGAGGAGAGCCGCAGCAGTGGGGAAGCTTTGAATCTGGCTGCGGTCCTGTGTCAAGAAGGCACAGCAATAGGTTGCAGCAAAGAATGGCAGAGCCTGGTATTCTGTGTGGACCTCAGTGTGTAAAACGGCCGTGGCTGCACTTCTGTCTGCAAATCTCACAGACACTTCTCTTTGGCCGACCCTGACTTGGAACCACACAGGGCTTTGAGTCTGGAAGTGTAGATCCAGCATAGCTAATTTGACACAGTACAAAATCATTATAAGAACCAAACAGGAATATTTTCTTACTTTAGGCCTGTTTTTCAATTGTATGTATTTAAGGTGCACGGCACAATGTGCAGATCCCTCAGCATCCATGGGGATTGGATCAGGACACCCCACAGACAGCAAAATCCATGGGTGCTCCAGTCCCTTCTAAATGGTATAGATTTATGTGTAATGTGCACAGTCCCTCATACATCAAATCATCTCAGGATTACTTATAATACCTAATACAATGTAAATGCTATGTAGATAGCTGCTATACTGTATTGTTTAAGGAATAATGACAAGAAAAGTCTGTACATGTTCAGTACAGATGCAACTATCCTTTTTTCTGGAATATTTTCCATCCACAATTGATTGACTGCAAGGATGTGGAACCAGGGGAGATAGAGGGCCGACTGTGCTTATCCTGATATCCACATACTAGTGGAGAGATAGCTACAGTCAAGCAAATTAGCCTACCTGTCACCTCATGTGGTTACTGTTGCTGTAACCTGTGTGTGGTAAGGAACCTGTGTGTGGTAAGGCCGCCTAAACTCTACGCACTTGGCCAGTGTCCAGTACACAGTACAATATGATGAACTCTAGTCCTCATTGGAGCTCTAGT